TACACATACATAACATAATATATATTTTTTACTTATTTGTATTTCAAAATTGCATTGTTAAGAATCCGATTTCATAAGAATTCCATTTATATATTATAAAAATTTAAAATGATAACATCATTAGATTAATTACTGGCTAAGATAAATTGTACGTTTGTTTAAATAGCCAGGTTTTAAGCTCCCGCTTGAAACTGGTAATTGATACAGAAGACCTAATATTTGCGGGAGTCTGTTCCATATCTCAGGAGAAGCATTCGAGAAAGCTCTTTTCCCATATGTTTTAAGGCTGAAGGAACCTTTGGTTAAAAGATTTGATGATGCTGATCTTAGGGAGCGAGCTGGGACATATGGCTTAACAAGTTCACGAAGATAGAAAGGAGCAGCATTATTTAGAGCCTTGAAGGTTAACAACAGTATTTTAAATTCAATGCGCTGCTCAACAGGCAACCAGTGCAAGCGAAAAAGAACTGGAGTGATATGATCATGTTTGTGTCCATAAGACACAAGTCGTGCAGCTGCATTTTGAACATGCTGAAGTTTTTGTAGTAAAGATTTAGGCAAACCATACAACAAAGAATTGCAAAAATCAAGTCTGGAAGATATAAGGGCATGGACAAGAGTTTCGCATACTTCAACACTGATATATTTACGAATTTTCCCTATATTTTTAATATGAAAGAAGCATGACTTGCAAATAGAGGTGATATGGTTTTTCATAGACAATTTCTCATCAATAACTCCAATGTCAAGAACAATTGAAGACGGAGACTAGATATCATAGTCAGAAAACGTAAGAAAATTATTACGTGGTCTAGGACGATGAGCAGCCGACACGACAAGAATCTCGGTCTTATCAGCATTCAATTCTAACTTGTTTCTGGTCATCCATTCATCAACTTCACTATTACTAAGTAATAACACGATTTTTCTTCAATTTAGGATAATTTGCACTCGTTTGTTTTTCAAACATCTTTTTGAATTGTACTGAAAACTTCTGATCGTTGGTCGGTCGCTATGGTGTGCCGTTTTTATTACTTTATTTTTTTGTCATTTGTCTTTTTGTTGTTGTTGTTGTTCATGATGATGTATTTTCCATTACATGCGTATTATACCTTGCACCTCATTCAGTCACATCTCAATTCTCACATGACCTTTTGCATGGGAATCTGAAGTTTATATTTATAACTTTACTCGCGGCTCCATAACAAATGGGGTGAAGGGCACTAGGTAGGCTATGGAGCAAGGTCATATACCAGTCGAATATTATTTTATAGGGCCAATTTATAGCACTTGGTACCCTCGCTATTTGCAACAAAATATACATGATTGTCCACGGAAGATAACAGATAAAGAAAACAAGAATGAGGATGTAAAGAATGTTCAGGACATCTTTTTCAAACTTTAACATCTTGCTTTTTTGGCTATCTCTGTTTTTGGGCATTATTCTAGGCCTTTGTTTGAGGTCTTTGAGTTGCGAGGCTTGGTTGTATGGAGAGGATTGAGGCGGCTTTGTCGCGAGGAACTGTGCAGGTCTGGTTTCGCTTTCCAAAGAGCTTGCTCTCGTGCAAGTGACACTGGTCATATCAATGGATTCTTCTCGACTACTAGTTTCCTCGGAACGAATGTGCTGTTTTATCCTGTATATCACTATGCTATAAGACGCCAACATCAACGCAAATGGCGCGAAAAAAAATGCAATATAATACACAACATCGTAAACGGGCATATCCTCAACAATGCTACAGATTTTAAGGACAACCGGAGCACACGGATCCGGATATACATACAATTTTTGGTTCAACCCGATGGGCGTGAGCAAGCAAGCTCCCCAAATCCAGGAAAAGGCCATAATTTTGAAAGCAAATCGTTTAGTAGGGCGATTCCTCTTTGGCTGAAGCATCATTATGGCTCGGAACACTGCGATGGCTGCTAGAGTAAACGTGACAACCATTGCAGCACATAATGACAAAGGCTTGACGAGCTGGCACAATAAATCACCAAACACCCATTTAAAAGGTGTTCTTTCGACGACCATGTCAAATGGCCGCAGAACGCCAATACTGATTTCTGCTATAGATAGATTTATCACCAGATAGTAAACAAATGGCTTGTTCCTTCGAGAAATGGCTCCTCTTAATACCAAAGCATTGCCCACTATTGAAAAGAATATTATAAAGGCCATAAACACTGTTCGAAAATTCTCGGATGCTTTTGGCTCTTCAACTTCCGAGGGGCTATTGCGATAGGGAAAGCATTCAGTGCCATTTGTTGAGTTCGCGGTGCTATTCAAAGCAATATCCCTAATGTCCACCATTATCGATACTTCTTATTTCAGTTTCCTGCTACACTCCATTCAAATGACGTTCTAGGAATGTTTTTGACCCCACTTTGCTTTGCTTTGGAGGCTCGATATCCAATTAAGTTATTTGACTTCAATGAAATGTAAAAACTGTAGCAGGATATCTATCGGAAAAAGTAATATAAACATATTTTTTAGATAAAATATGACACTGGGGAACTGGGCCAGAGCCCGGGGGTAGGGGGG